ATTTCCCTTAGACCATTTATAGGCTACACCTGTTTCACTGCACTAAGGATGAGTCATCCTTATACACACCTTCCCTAGGGAACTATTCACTAGAAATCAATGCAACAAAAGCTTCTTAAACCCCTACTAGACCCAAGGTACAACGCTAGGCACCAGAGGATACAAAATGAAATAAGATACAGCCTCTATCTTTGAGAAACGTTCGGTACAGTTGAGGGGAACCAGAAGGTAGAGAAGACAAAGCCACATAACTAAAACAGAAGTCTGGCATGAAAGATTTAAGGGCCAGATAACATAGTGAGAATCAAGGACAATGTAGCATCAGAGATGAGCACTGAAGGAAGAGAACAATTTCAGTTGGTAGAGATGTGTGCAGGGGAAGAGGGGAATAGTACACCAGACAAAGGGGGCAGTGTGCATGGAGGTGAGGAAGTTGAAATTGGGAGGATGAGACCAGAGAATAGTGAGTAAACCTGTTTTTCTGGAATGCAGAGTGCATGAAGAAGAGTAGCATAAGATAAAGAAATGTAGGCTGAAACCATACTAAGTAGGGGAACACACAGCAACTCTAAATGAGCTGAGTATGTGGACCTAGCTGAACTGCACCCCAGGATGTTGAAAGAACCTGAGCCTAATAGAGAGTCTTACATGTAGAAGGCATTTAAAAATGTTTGCTGAATTGAACTGAGATGATATCTGTTGGTGATCATTGAGAAACTGCAAGAAAAGGAAGAGATGATAGAAGACCGGAAACAAGAAAAAACTTCCAGTTTTTAAAGGCTGGGAGAAAGGTATTTTGCAAACTACAGTCCAATGAGCTTGACATTGATTCTGTATAAAATTCTACAATGAATTATTAAATAGCTGATTTTCTAAACACTTTGAAAAAGATATGGTGGTCACTAGAAGTCAGTTTAAGTGCTCTAAAAACAAGTCAAGACAGTTGAACCTTATTTCTTTTTTTTTTTGGACAAGATTATGTCTGGTAGAGCAGGCGAACATAGACACAATGTATTTGGTGTTCAGTAAGGCACTTGACAAAGCTTCTCATAATATCTTTGTCTAGTTTGGTAGATCAAGAATTAATCATGGAAGCAGATCCAGAGTAAGGATAGGTGCTTGCTGCTCTCCTGGAATTGGGAAAAGCTGTTTCTGTGGTTTCTTCCAAATCTAATAGGCCAGGACTAACTTGGCCCTATTCTGTTCAACACTCTTATCGATGATTCTGAAGAAGACGTTGATACACTTATCACAGTTTGTGGATGCAGGAACTTGGGAAGAATCTATTAGCTGACAGAATCAAAACCTTCCCCTAGCCCCCAAACATCTTGACAGGCTAGAATGATGAGCCAAATCTAACAAAATGAAATTTAATGGGAATAAATTTAAAGTTCTGAACTGAGGTTAAACAAATACATTATACAAGCATAATATGGGAAAGGTAAATCTAGATACATGTAAAAATAAGTTACTGGGTATTTCAACAGACAAATTCTATGAACCAATAGTATGATACGACTGTAGATGAGATTTTAGGCAATATTAATGGAGTGTATAGCAGCTAGCTAGCATTTATATAGAGCTTTAAGATTTGCACTGCTAGTGTCAAGAGGCTAAATTTGAGCCCAGGCCTCCCCTAACACCAAATCCGGTGATTTTTCGAGTATACCATTCTGCTTCTCTGGAAGAAATGATGTAGAAGGATAATTAGGAATTAATAATCTTATGTGGGTTCAAAAAATAAAACTTCCCAAGTACAAAATGGGGAAGGCATGGCTAGATTGCAGTTTGTCTGAAAAAAATCTGGGTGTTTCAGCTGGCAATACGATCAATAGAAGCTGACTATGCGATTTTGATAGCTAAGAAAATGAAAGCAAATCTTATACTGCATTAAAAGTCCAGGGAGCTAAGAGTTCTGCTGTATTCTTGCCCCATCTGAAGGTATCGTGTTCAGTTCCGGGCCTCCCACTTGAGGAAGAACTCGAGTTGGAGAGCAACCAAAGGAGGGTAAAGGGTCTCAATAATATTAGGTAATCATAGCTAGCATTTCTATACTACTTACTATGTGCCAGGAATTATGCTAAATGCTTTACAAGAATTATCTCACTTGATCCTCACAATAACCCTTCGAGGTAGATGCTGTTATTATCCTCACTCTACAGTTGAGGAAACTGAGGCAAACAATGGTTAAAAGATTTGCCCAAGGTCACACAGCTAGTAAGTGTCTGAGGCTGAATTTGAACTCAGGTCTTCCTGACTCCAGGCCCAGGGCTCTATCCAGTCTGAGATTTAGGTGACTCATGTCCTTAGAGCTTTGTTTAAGTATTTGGGGATATTTAGCCTGAAAAAGAGAAGACTTGGGGGAGGGGGGTGAAAGATGTCAAGACAGCTGGATTTAAATATCTTAAGGGCTGTAAGGTGGAAGCAAGATTATATTTGTCCTACTTGGCCCCAGGAGGCAGAAGTAGAAACGATGAATAAAAGCTGCAAAGAAGAATAGTACTGCCTCATATGCAAAGAAAATCCTAATAATCTGAGCTATCTAAAAGTAGAGTATGCTACCTTAGAAAGTAGCAGTTTCACTAAGATCTTCAAATGATCAATTGTCAAGATATTCTGTAGTTTCCTGTCTGGATTGAACTAGATGACCTCTGGAGTCCCTTAACTCTGAGATCTCGTGTGGGAATGGGGAAGGGTTGAAAGGGACCCATCTATCTAGTACCAGAAGATACTCAGCCACCCTAGGAGGTCTACCAAGACTGCTACCAAATCTCTAGGCTAGGTTTGTTAACAATGATATAGCAGCAACATCAAAAACTCTGTAAAAACACAAACTCTGGCAATAAACTTCCCATGGTAGGTATAGAAAATATATCCATTTGTTATTTTGACAGACACACCTAGTCTGCCTTCCTGTATCCTATTTTGCAGAGGCAAATGTGGCTGTGGTTTATGTAAGTTATAAAAAGGATACAAGTTTATTAGTATAAAAATCCAAGAATATATATCTTGCTGCCTTGCTCTTCTCAATCTTTTAAAACTACTTGGCTCTAAGACTAGGTGACCTGACTTCCAGCGTTAGGAGAGTGTATCCCACTTCAATAGCATCTGTCCCATTTTGTTATTAATAACTAGAACTTTAGGCTACAAATGCCTTTGCCTTGTTCCTAGTCTGAGACAATAATCAACTAAGACAACCATTGTAATTAACTATTTAAAGAAAAAGAAAAAGAAAAAGAGGAAGCGCAAGCCAAGATCTGAAGACTGGCTTTGGCTTTATACAAGCGAAAAGAAATCGACAAAATATAGGAAGTCTATGTTCTAAGAGCAAAGGAAACAAAGGGAATTTCAGTTCAGGTTAGATTCAAAGATTATTTTTGAGGTAGACAAAGCCTCACAGTTAGTTCATCTTGTCAGACAAATGAACTGAAGCTCAGAGTTTAAATGAATTTTCCAAGATTACGCTGCTTAGATGCAGCCTCCTACAGTGGAAGTTGCCGGTGAAGCTGGGATTCAAATTCCAGCTGCCACACTTACTAGATATGTGACTGTGGGCAAACCTCTGTTTCCTTCTCTGAAAAAAAGATGAGAGGTCATCTATAGCTCCTTCTCCAGAGGGTTGTAGTGAAGATAAATTAGACAATGTATTTTAAAGCATTTTGTAAGCCTTAAAGTCCAACTTGCAGTCTATCAGGCTTAGGGAAGTCACTGCTGCTTTATGGAGCAATAGCTAAGAATTACAAAAGAATGGTAATCATCTTTTTAAATGTCCACAAATTACAAATTCTTCACCCATCCAATGAATGATGTGGCTGGCTCGGCTATAGCAAGCATTATCTTTTAAATAATCTCATGACTTGATGCTGCCCTTTGTCACCATCCTGAAATTTATTTATGTACCAAACTATATCTAGGCTATTCAATGCAATAAACATTTAGTAAGAGCATAGTTTTCCAATTTATAGTCTTAAAGAGTTGCCTGAGGGGGGCACTGAGAGGCTTTCCCAGGGTCACAGGGCCAATTTGTGTCAACTGATCAATAAAAAGCACTTAGTAAACACCTGCTATGTACCAGGCACTGTGCTAAGTGTTGGGGATACAAAAAGAGGCAAAAGACAGTCCCTGCCTTGACAAATCCTTACATTCATCTTTAGCAGCAACCTTTTGCTTCTATTCTAACAGGGACTGGTCCATCACACCCAGAAAGGACGCCCTAAATGCAATGCGTGCTTGCATCTACTATATCCTTCCTTTTTTAAGTTCTGCCTAACTCTGAAAACTATCGGCATGACAAAAAAACAGACCAAAGGAATGCGACTGCAAAATAATCCTTACCACAGGCCTTTAGGTGCTTCCAGCTAATGCCCCACGGCCAGATGGGGCAAAGCGGCACAGTGACAGGATAGATGAGTTGGGACCAAAAAATCCTCCAGCGAAAACGACAGTAAGATGCTCTAGTGGAAAGTGGGGAGGTGGGGCGGGGGGGCTGTGGGGCGCAGGAAGCCTCTAGGGGCAATGGGAAGTAAAAAAACCTGAACCCACTAAAATAAAAAGAGCGGCTCTGTCATTCGCAAGGCGCACGGGCGCATCCTCAGGTGCGGCCCACCTCCAGCAGCCCGGGCGCATCCCCCACCCCGCACCCCCCGCTGGGCCGAGCACACCCTCCTCGTAACTGACCAGAGCCGCGGCTGGCCGGGCAGCGGCACGCGTCGGTCCCCGGCGCGGGTCCCAGCACGCATGCCAGCCTGAGCCTCTCCCGCCAGGACCTGCTCGGGCCGGGGCACGGCGGGCACCCGCTCCCCGGCGAGGTCAAGGCCGGGGGCTGCCCCGGGCGCCCGGGAGTCCGGGATGGCGCCCCGGCGGGACGGCGGCCACGCAGCCAGCGCAGCCCCGGGAGCGGGGTAGGGCTCTCAGCCTGGGTCCCGTCCCGAGGCAGGGCCGCAGGGGTCGCGGCGCCCCACGGCCCCGGCCCCGGTCCCTCCCACCCCGCCCCGGCTCACCTGCCTGCCCCGCCGGCCCTAGTCCCGATCCATGGCCGCCCGCCCGGCGCGGCCTCGCCTTCTCGGAGAGGGCCCGCCCGCGCTCGCCGGCCGCCCGCGCTCACCGCCCTCTGCGCCCGCGGCCGCGGCCGCCGCTCGTGCTCAGCCCCAGCCGGGCCATCCCCGGCCCCCTGGTCCCCGCGCCCGCCGTCCCCACACCGTCCCTCCCTCCCCCTCCGCGGGCCCGGCGATGGTAGCGTCCTAGCGTCACGCCTCTCTCGAAGCCAATCAGAGAGAGCCGGTGTCGCCCCTTCTCCTCCCCCGGCCCCCTCCCCATCTAGGCCTCCCGTGGGCGGGGCCGCTTGATCTCCCAACGGCTCCCAGGCTCCTCCCCCAGAGCCCCGCCCCCGCTGCTCATTAACCATTAACTCCTTCTCTTCCGCGCCGAGCCGCGCTTAACCTTCTCGGCTCCGGCCTCCCTGGTGGAATCCTCGTGGGCCTTCCCTCCGCTGCGTGGCACTACTTCTTCACCTCCCTCTGCCCCGCGCGAGTCCCGCGAGTCTCAGGCCACGTTCTCCTGAGTGTCTTGAACAGCGCGCTGGGCACCCGCGCCCGCCTGCCCCCACCCTGGTCCAGCCTTCGATCTCCAGTTATCCCCGGCACCCAGGCGGTACCTTAGCAGGCCCTTCCACTTCTGCCTCCGTAGTAATAATAATATAATTTTAATAATAATTCTTTATTGACATTATCATGGTAACACCTGGTATTTATGGGGCTCTTTCCAGATTTCATGCGCTTTGCAGCCTTAGTAATTGTAATAATAATAGTTACAGTAGTCATTCTATTACTGACATTATCATAGTAACATTTGGCATTTATGGAGCACTTTCCAGATGTCGTGCACTTTGAAGCCTTAATGATTGTAATAATAATACTGTTATATTAGTAATTTTATTGTTGGTATTTTAATAGTAACGTTTGGCATTTATGGAGCACTTTCCATATTTCATGAACTTTGCAGCCTTAGGAATAGTAAGAATAATATTGTTATATTAGTAATAATGTTATTGACGTTATTATAGTAAATTTGGCATTTATGGGGCACTTTCCAGATCTCATGCCCAGCCCTGTGGGTTGGGGTAGGTGTTATCACCATTTTACAGATGGGGAAGCTGAGACTCAGGAAGGTACAGCAACCAGTCTCTGGTGGCACAGCCAGTTAGGGGTGGGATTTCAACGCAGGACTTTCTGACTTTTGAAAGGACTTTCTGAGGTATTTCCACTACAAGTGACTGCCTCTTTCGTCCCCCATGCAGCTTGTGGCCTGGGCTGACCACACATGTAGAGTGTATAGGAAGGGTAGAGGGTGATTGGGAATCAATGAAGACTACTACACAATCCTGTGTTACTCAAAGACCAGTGTACCCAGTACACAGTAGGTGATTAACGCATGTTTATTGATTGAAATACATGGTGAGCATGGAACTGACATGGGGGGAGGGGGATTTGAAAGGTAATGTGTGAGTTTTCAGCAACTCATCTGTAATTTATAGTCTTAGGAAGACGCCTTGGGCACTGAAAAGTGAAGTGACAACCAGTTAAGCTTTAGAAGCAGCATCTGAACCCAGTTCTTCCTGACTCCAAGGAGTCTTTGTATCAGCTAAACTGCCTCTCCTGTAGGATAAACAACAAAAAAGATATTACCAGATAAATGTAGGTGCAGAAAAAGTGGTGGACAGGGTGGTGTAGGGTATACTGTTGGTACCTAATGAATGCTTAGAGGGTAAGAGGAAGGCCTCCAGTACCTGGAGTGACCACTTGGGTAGGATTTATGAGAGGCAATCTACTTACCTGAGCTTCCTTTTCTTCCTCATCCCACATCCTCTCCTTTGCTCCAGTATGTGATGAACAGGTGGCCCTTTTTCTTGCCAACCAAGGCTAACCCATCCACTTGTGTACTTGATCCCGTCCTCTTCTGTCTCTTCTGAGAATTTGCTCCAGGGAAAAACCTCCAGCTCCAACTTTTGATCTGTCTGTCTATCTCTGTCTATCTGTCTGTCTGTCTGTCTCTCTCTCTCTCTTTCTCTTTCTCTCTGTCTCCTCCCCCTCTTTCCTCTTTTCTCTCTCCCTTTCTCTTCCATCTCTTTGTCTCTCTTCTAGATATCTCTCTTCCTCTTTCCCTCTCCCTCCCTCCCTTTCTCTCTTCTTTTCTCTGTCCCTTTCTCTTCCATCTCTGTCTCTTCCCTTCTATATCTCTCTTCCTCTTTCCCTCTCCCTCCCCCTTTCTTTCCCCTTTTCTTTCTTTTCCATCTCTCTTTGTCCCTCTCCTATCTCTCTTCCCTTCCATCTCTCTCTCTTCCTCTTTCTCTTTTTTCCTCCTCTTCCTTCTTTCTCTCCCCCACCCCATACCCCCCTTCTTTCTCTCTGTCTCTCCTATCTTTAATCTTTCCCTAGCTATTGGCTCCTGCCCACTACCTGCAAACATACCTAGATCTCCCCATCTTTTAAAAAACAAAATAAAATAAACCCTTGAATTAATCCACCCATCTCCTCGAGCTATTTTTCCAACATCCTTCTCTTTCACAGTTGAATTCCTAGAAAAGGCTATCTAGGGTTTCTGCTTTCCATTTCCTATCCTCCCACAGATTTCTCAGGTCCTTGCAATCTGGTTCCCAACCTCACCTCTCAATTGAAACAACCCCAAAGTTACCAGTAATTCTAGGGCCTTTTGGCAGAGAAGACTTCTGGACTTCTCTGTAGAGTTTAGTTCTATTGACCACCCTTTCCAGCTTGACATTTTATCTTCCATCTGTGGCCAATATGTCAATAAACTTCTCTAGATTTAGGGAGTCTGGAACTCAGGTTATATGCATGCAGTCTATCACCAACCCCTTACTGGGAGCCAAATACACTAATAATCATATTACCAAAAAAAAATGGTAACAGTCATGGGGTAAATGGGGCTTTTTCCCACTCTGTTGACATGGGAGAAGTTGATTCCCTCCACAGCAGCCACGTTTCTTGCATCTCACCTCTCAGTCTTTCTGTGGTCTGTGTTGCTATGCTAAGCAATGACCCCTAGACTGCCACTACCAGGGTTATGCTGCTATGGCACCCCTTTCACGGAGCTGGACTGCTCTCACACAAGCCGTAGAGGACATGATTGCACTTATGGTCAGACTGGTCTCTGCATACCACTCTCCACTCACATCTTCCCCAGCCTTCTACCAGAATTTGCCTCAGGTACAAGAATTCCTAATTACAGCTCTGTAAATGAGACTATGGAAAAGAGATTAGAAAGGTACAGCATACTCCAAGATTTCAGAACAGAGAGTGATCACTTTCATTTAGAAAAGGCTTTCCATACATCATTAATCGTGCATTATATGCCCAGCATCAACCTGAGCGCTGAAGGGGTATTTTAAAAAATTCTATATGAAACCAGGTCCTTGTATTTAAGAAGCTTACAATATAGTTAAGAAACAGAACATGAATATATTTTAACATTTCAATAGCTCTGTGATCTCACTGATCTGAGTGCTCCCAAAAATGGTACAATCATAACCTAAGACTTCTCACATTCAATAGTAATAACATAACAGGCCAGTATATGATTAAATGCCAAAGATCTATCTAAAAACAAGTGATGTAAGCAATAGTTTTACTATGTATAGTTATAAAGTTTTTGTAGATAATAAAACCTGAATTCAAATCCAGCCTCAGATACTTACTAGCTGTGAGGCCTTGACCAAGTCACTTAACTTGTGTCTGCTTCAGTTTCCTCAGCTGTAAAATAGGGATAATAATAACACCTGCTTTACAGAGCTGATGTAAGGATCAAATGAGATCATATTTGTAAAAATCTTAGCAGTGTCTGGCACAGAGTCTGGCACTTCATAAATGCTAATTTTCTTCCTTCCAATGGATGACATAAAATGAATGATACTTAGAAGAACTCTACAAAGTTCCCTTACTGATATCGACAGCAATTCAAAAGTGCTTAGTCTGATTAGCCACACTAGAAAAACAAAGTGGATGAAAAATATACATTGTACAGAATATGACATGAAGTTGGAGAGAGAGGTCAAGGAATTGATTCTTCAGTATAAATATATTTATTTAGAAACAGCAATATGGTACAGTGGGGAAAGGACTAGAATTAGATTCAGAAGGCTTGGATTTGAATCCCAGTTCTGCCGCTTACCATCTGTGGGACAAGTAACTTGACTTCCCTGGACCTTGATTTCTTCATCTAGAAAAAAAGGAGGTTGGAAATGATGACCTCTATTTCCCATCCAGGTCTAAATCTATGATTCTATGATTTTGGACAGGTGCTGTAGAAAATAAATAATAAGCTGAGGTCAGAATTCTGTAGATGTGAGAATGGCTGGCATTTGGGAATCACCAATTATATAGTAATGTGGCATAGTGGATAGTAGATGATTTTATCTATCCATCAACAAGCATTTATTAAGCACTTACTGGGTGCTGGAGTGCTGTTAAATGTCTCAGTGCCACAAAAGTCTGCCTCTTAAACACAAATGACCTCATAGCATGCTACTTGACTGTGAATCAGTCTTCTTTACCTGAACTAACAGAATGGCCTCTCTGGAGACCGGGAGACCAAGGCTTCCTGCCTGCCTCCAGTCCCCTTCATTCTCTAATCTGTCTTCCACAAAGATGCCCAAATAATCTTCCTAAATCAAAGATCTGACTGAGTCACTCCCCTGCTCCCGAATCTTCAGTGGCTTCCTATGGCCTTTAGAATAAAATGCAAATGCCTCTGCCTAGCACTTAAGACTCAAAAATCTGACTCCAATTTGTCTTTCCAGCCTTATCTTCCATTGCATCTCTATGTTTGCACTCGGCGTTCAGATGAATTAGCCATTCCAGACATTTCTAGACTTCAAGATTCCACCACCCAGCTCCACCCATGTATTTGCACAAGCTGTCCCTTTGGATACCTAGAATTGTTACCTCCTCACTGCCACCTTTCAGAATAAAGGCTCAGTTCCAGGACCTTGAAGCCTTTCCTGAAGCTCTCCCCTCAAATAACTTTGTATTAACTTAGTTGTTTCTGTGAACCAACTCCTCCAGTG